CCTTCACTTTATGAAATCTCTGCGGCACCAGTGGCCTGTACTACGAAGCAGGATTTGCTATTTACCCGCAGGTCCCCACCAACCCGTTCACGTATCTAACAGATATTCCCCACTCAGCGAGACACCCGCTGAGAAGCCAACTCTGGTTATTGGTAGCTCTATTATGAGACATGTGAAATTAGAGACCGAAGCCTCCACAGTCACATGCATTCCGGGGGCCAGAGCGGGCGACGTTGAGGCGCATCTTAAACTGCTGGCTAAAAATAAACGTAAATACAGTAGGATTGTTATTCACGTCGGTGGTAATGATGTTCGTATACGCCGATCAGAATGCACCAAACTTAATGTGGAGTCGGTGTGTAGTTATGCTAAAACAATGTCGGACACCGTAATCTTCTCTGGTCCCCTCCCCAATCTGATCAATGATGACATGTATAGCCGCATGTCATCATTTCAGCGCTGGTTGTCTTGGTGGTGCCCAGCAAACAATGTGGGCTTCGTAAATAATTGGACAGCCTTCTGGGGAAAACCTGGTCTGATTAAGAGAGACGGCATTCATCCTACTTTGGAAGGTGCCGATCTCATTTCGGCAAACATTTCAGGGCTTTGTGGACTTAATCCATGACAAACTGGAGTTGAGACCAGGAGGCGGAGTCGCAGTCTTACACGCTTCTCTGCGCTCTCTCCTAGGCAGTCATCCATAGGAATCCCGAACCCAATAAAATACCCAATATTAGCGGTGTGTGTGTCTGCCCAAGGACAAGTTAAGGTAAAACCTAATAGAGGTGTCATACATAATAACCTAATCAAAGTAAATGTAACAACTACTACAGTGCAACAAAACAGGAATATTAAATGTGGTCTCTTAAACATAAGATCTCTAGCATCTAAAGCAATATTGGTAAATGATTTAATATCAGATTATAATATTGATATATGCTGTCTCACTGAAACTTGGTTGAGACATGAAGAATATGTCAGCATAAATGAGGCCACTCCACCCAGCCATATCAATACTCATATTGCCCGAGGCACGGGCCGAGGAGGTGGAGTTGCAGCCATCTTTGACTCAAGTTTACTTATCAATACTAAACCAAAATTAAATTATACCTCCTTTGAAAGTCTCGTTCTTAGTCTTACGCATCCGACCTGGAAAACTTTGCAGCCAATCTTATTTGTTACAGTGTACCGTGCACCAGGTCCTTATTCAGAATTCTTATCTGAATTCTCTGAGTTTTTATCAACTTTGGTTCTTAAAACAGATAAAGTAATTATCGTAGGTGACTTTAATATTCATGTTGACGATGATAAAAATAGCCTTACTGTTGCATTTAACTCTATATTAGATTCTGTTGGTTTTTGTCAGAGTGTAAATAAACCAACCCACTGCTATAATCACACTCTCGACCTTGTTCTGACTTATGGTATTGAAATTGAGCAACTATTAGTCGAATCGCATAATCCTGCTTTATCCGACCATTTCTTAGTAACTTTTGAAGTACTGTTACGAGACTACAAAGCATTAGTCAAAAGCTCCTGCAGCAGAAACCTATCTGTTAGTGCTATAGCCAAATTTAAGGAAGAGATTCCACCAATACTTAACTCGATAGCATGTCTGCATGTAAGGGAGGAAACTTATACAAAATGTACACCACCCCAAATTGATCATGTTGTTGATAGTGCTACAGATGCGCTGCGAATAAAATTAGACTCTGTTGCTCCTTTGAAAAAGAAGAAAATAAAACAACATAGACTAGCTCCATGGCATAATGCCGAAACCCGCAAAATAAAGCAAAAGTCGAGACAACTTGAAAGGATATGGCGTTCTACTAAACTTGAAGAATCTCGTTTAATTTGGCATATTACTCTCAATGAATATAAGAAAGCATTGCGTAAAGCGAGAGCAGCTTACTACTCTTCATTAATAGATGAGAATAAGAATAATGCAAGATTTCTTTTCAGCACTGTAGCCAGGCTGACAGAAAGCCACAGCTCGATTGAGCCTTCTATTCCCATAGCACTCAGTAGTAATGATTTTATGTGCTTTTTTAACGATAAAATTGTTACTCTTAGAAACAAAATTAATGACCTCTTGCCTTTGACCAGTATAGTGTTATCAACAGCTCCCGGAAACGTAAGTTCTAATATTACACTAGATAGTAAACTAGAATGCTTTTCAGCCATAAACCTTGAACAATTAAATTCAATGATTCTCTCTTCTAAACCATCAACGTGCATGTTAGACCCAATTCCAACTAAGCTGTTGAAGGAAGTTTTTCCATTAATTAGCACTTCTTTATTAAATATTATGAATATGTCTTTATTATCAGGCTATGTTCCACAATCATTCAAAGTAGCAGTGATAAAACCGCTTCTTAAAAAGCACAACCTCGATCCAGAGGTTTTAGCCAACTATAGACCTATTTCTAATCTTCCGTTCCTCTCAAAAATTCTTGAGAAAGCGGTGCGCAAAACAGTTGTGTGATTACTTAAAAAACAATGATTTATTTGAAGCTTTTCAGTCTGGCTTTAGAACACATCATAGCACAGAGACAGCTCTGGTTAAAGTCACAAATGACATTCTAATAGCCTCTGACAAGGGACGTGTCTCTATTCTTGTTTTGCTCGATCTCAGTGCTGCATTTGATACTATCGACCATGATATCTTATTGCAAAGACTAGAGCACTTAGTTGGCATACAGGGAACTGCTTTAGACTGGTTTAGGTCCTATCTATCTGAACGCTCTCAGTTTGTACGTGTCAATGATGAATCTTCCACGCAAACCAAAGTTAGCCATGGAGTGCCACAGGGCTCAGTGCTCGGACCTATTTTGTTCACATTATATATGCTTCCGTTAGGCAATATTATAAGGAATCATTCTGTAAACTTTCATTGTTATGCGGATGATACTCAACTATATTTATCAATCAAGCCTGATGAAATTAATCATCTAAATACAATTCAAGACTGCCTTAAGGACTTAAAAACGTGGATGACCTTAAACTTTTTGATGTTAAACACGACCAAAACTGAAGTTATTGTACTTGGCCCGAAGAATCTACGAAACAAATTATCTAAGGATATACTAACTATGGATGGCATTAATTTGGCCTCCAGTGAGACTGTAAGGAATCTTGGTGTTATATTTGATCAGGATTTATCCTTTAACGCCCACATAAAATCAATTTCAAGGACCGCCTACTTCCATCTACGTAACATTGCAAAAATCAGGCATATCTTGCCTCAAAACGATGCAGAGAAACTAGTCCATGCATTTGTTACTTCAAGGCTGGATTATTGTAACTCTTTATTATCAGGGTGTACCAAGAAGTCAGTCAAGTCGCTTCAGCTGATTCAAAATGCTGCGGCTCGTGTACTAACCAGAGTTAGGAAAAGGGACCACATTACTCCTGTTCTGGCTGCCTTACACTGGCTCCCTATAGAACACAGGATAGAATTTAAAATTATTCTTCTCGCCTACAAAGCCCTTAATGGGCAGGCGCCATCTTACCTTAAAGAACTCATTATACCCTACTGTCCTACTAGGGCATTGCGTTCCAAGAATGCAGGGTTGTTGGTTGTTCCTAGAGTCTCTAAAAGTACAATGGGAGCCAGAGCCTTTTCTTATCAAGCTCCACATTTGTGGAATCAGCTTCCAGTTTGTGTTCGGGCGGCAGACACCCTATCCGTTTTTAAGAGTGCGCTTAAGACCTTCCTTTTTGATAAAGCTTATAGTTAGGGCTGATTAGATCCAGCCCCTAGTTTTGCTGATATAGGCTTAGTTTGTCGGGGGACATCTTACTTCTTCCTTCTCTCTGTCTATACCTGTGTACTCTCATGTTCCGATTAACCCAGCTTCCCCAAATGTCTTTCTTTTTGGTGTCTATATACGCCGGGATCCGGAGTCATGGATGATCCTGCGCTCCTCTGTCCTGGATCGCGAGCCCTGGATCTTGAGTCGTGGCTGTGGTCCTGGATCATAGGTCCTGGATGGATATCCTCGTGGATTCATCTTCCTATTATACACACATGCATTTCCAAACATTTGGACTACCTATGTTGCAAATGTATTATCTTTTCAATTTACACACGGCATCTATTGCACGTCTGTCCGTCCTGGGAGAGGGATCCCTCCTCTGTTGCTCTCCCTGAGGTTTCTCCCATGTTTCCCTTTAAACTGTGGGTTTTCTCCGGAAGTTTTTCCTTGTACGATGTGAGGGTCTAAGGACAGAGGGTGTCGTATTGTCATACTGATATTTTGTACAAACTGTAAAGTCCACTGAGACAAATGTAACATTTGTGATATTGGGCTATATAAATAAACATTGATTGATTGATTGATTGATTGATTTACTTTTCATTCCTGAAGTATGACGCTGCGCTGTCAGCACGCTAACCCCGTCCCTTTCACGTGAACGCGCTCTCAGCCGAACAGAGAAACCCTGGTTGATTTACTGAGTTGATAACCAGCTTCGTAGGACCGCTTAGTATGAAGGTAGATATGGTGCAAAATGCGAGAGCGTGAAAACCTGATGTGAGCACTTGCAGAACAAAAATCTGAGTTTGTGTGCATACATTTACACTTGTATAAAATATCCACGTAACTGTGAACCAAATGTACACTTGTATAAAATATCCACGTAACTGTGAACCAAATTTACACTTGTAAAAAATATCCACGTAACTGTGAACCAAATTTGAAGTCACAGAAGAAAAAAATAAGTTTTGTAGCTTGTATAAAAAAATGTACTTAGTTATGAAATGTTCACTTGCAGAAAGATACATATTTTTTAAATATATTTTCCATTATAACTGCAACTTTATTTATTACAACCTCTCAAATCAGTCATTACAACTTGACGAATCTGCTCTGTGGCAGTATAAATCGACGAATCTGCGGTCTTGACTTTTGCTACACTTCTTCCGATAAATGTGTTGCAAAAGTAATTTTCACCTGTAGATGTGGGGGGAGGGAGGGGGGTTGGAGCGAAGGGGAGGAGCTATCAGAAGGACGAGGCTCGGGTGACTGGAGACTGCGGGGCTCACGGTTCGTGTCGCTACCAGTCCGCTGACATGGCGCATCAATCAACGGTACATTTTGCCAATTACTTGCCCAGTATTACTTTGAATATTATTATTGTGATTGAGGATTAAATCCGCTTTGAAGACCACCGTTTTATATCGTGCAGTTTAGCGGCAAAATAACGTCAGTCAGCCAGCTAACGCTAGCTTTGTTGAGTTTATGCTAGCTAAACAAGTAGTGGTTGTAGTCTACAGCAGTAATTAATATATTATAGCCTACTGCTTTGGCACTAACGGTTGATAACCGTTTATGAAAATAAAACCAATTGAACTGTACTGAAATAATGAGACGTTTTATAATTGTCTTGGGCTCCTGCTGTGTTTTTAAAGCCTTTGTAAATTATCCATGCTATTTTCTATTTAGCTAACGTCGACGTAGTGTATGTGAAATCAGCCTCACAATAAGATGTGTGTATATTACAATTATTAATGTCATATTTCAAGATGATTACTTAGATATTTCAATATGGTTGGTTGAGCTGGAGTTCATTATTGAGCTTACACGTTAACGTCACAGTCACCTGAAGAACGAACCCAAACCTTGTTGTTTTTATTAATTGTATTACCAAATTGATATCAAATAAACAGTAAGCATTGGTAACACAACTTCCAAAGTTACAGTAAAATAAAAAGGACCCTGACTCGGACAATACACAATCCAACATGTTCAACAGAAGATAATCAGTTATATTATTTGTACACATGGTACTTACATATATATCTGTTTGTTTAAGGTGACCAGGTGATGCAGACAGGCTGGACCAGAGAGTGAGAGACAGAACTGGACTCCTCACAGCAGTGAACTTCAGCACAGGTACAAAGACTATTTTTTCATACTGTACAAAGAATCAAGAAAGATATTGGTTTAAATGAATTAAGTATTGACTTGAATACACTGATATACATTCCATTAAACAATACTAAATACTAGATCACCTACACATCAGTGAAGTTGAGGTTTTTTCCATGCAAAAAGTTACATTTAGATGTTAACAAGCAATATGACTTTGTCAGCTTTCTAATTTAATGTATTGAAGGCAAAGATATTTAACACATAGTGAGAACTGCTACTATTTATCTCTCAATATTGTCTGTAAAAAATGTGGTAAAAGTTATTCTTTCAGTGAGACAACAGAGCAAGCTTCTACAGTTGCACTACATTTTGATAACAGTTGAATATTATTTTGATAACATATATTTCAATGTTGATGAATTTCATACTGTTCATTCATAATCTGATTACAATTAAAAAAAAATTACATCAACAGCCCCTAAACACAAACACACCTCTTTCATAAATAACACACTTGTTCTGCAATAATATGTTTTATGTTTCCTGTAATTTTTGTTAGGAAAGGACATGCCTGAAAGACACGACATCTTCTCCTTCTCTGAGGGTCAAGAAGAACATCCAAGAGGAACATTAAAAGCTGATGTTATGAGATGTTAAGACCAGTACAGGACATTCACTAAGAAACTACTTTTATTGTGAACAAAAAAATCTGCACACCGAATATTTTTGTAGTCTATCAGGACCATCATTTGTTTGTGACGCTGCCTGCACCTCAGAGAAGGGGTGGTTATAGTCAGGCTTATAAAGTGTGGCGAAAAACATAGTCAGCTGATGGGATGCATCTATTTCCACATCTACACTCCACCAGCTGATTATTTCTATTTGTCTCGCTTTATGAGCTTCACATCACCTGTGCCTTGTACCGCAGAGTTTGCAACGTCACAAATAAATGGGGCCAATCTTCAGTCAGATGTGAATGTGTAATCTAACATTTTCAGTAAGAATAATGGACAAAAGGAGTAGAAATACAATTTATTGAAATGTGAACCAAAAGTTAATCAAATGTTTTAAATAAAAAGCACATATGGACAGAAGGTGTAAACCTATTAAATGTATTAAACACATTTAGTCAAATAAAGTGACAGACTAGGCCTGTGCAGTTGGTATCAGCTTTGCCCAGCATGGGCTCCTCCATCAGGCCTGGTCCTCCTCGCTGAGGAAAGACCCTCAGTCCTCTCCAAACCAACAGTCCATCACACAGAGGTTTCTCCCTGAAGTCTCTGCTGCTCTCTGGACACCAGACTGTCTCAATCCGTCCACACTGAATATGAGAGGGGGAAAATGAAAATAATAAATGCTTTAGACAATAAGAAACATAAAGTTGACTGTTGAGTTGCTCAGTTTTTTTAGATTGTCAATACTATTACTGTATAACTAATATCTCAGGTTAAGAGGCACATTCAAATAAAGATTGGTCTTTAAATACATGTTGTCTTTTGAATTGTTTGTCTAAAGTCAAGGATCTAGAACTGGTACTTAGTTTTAATGATACAGTCTGGTTATTATGCTGTTTGGAGGAGGCCTCACAGGTAAGAGCACTAACTAGCTACCATCACATGTACCTTAGCTTGACTTAAATGTATTAAACGTATAGTTAAGTGATATCAAAATATAAATAACTAATGTCATACAAACATATTAATATTTGCTTGATTCTAGAGTTGAATTTAGCACAATTGCATACAAACGTTAAGGGATTTTAAAATTCTGAAGTCTTCGTTCTAAATAGAAAATAGCATGGATAATTTACAAAGGCTTTGAAAACACAGCAGGAGCCCAAGACAATTATAAAACGTGTCATTATTTCGGAAAGCGGATTTAATCCTCAATCACAATAATAATATTCAAAGTAATACTGGGCAAGTAATGGGCAACATTTACCGTTGATTGATGCGCCATGTCAGCGGACTGGTAGCGACACGAACCGTTAGCCCCGCAGTCATCCGGTTCGACATGACTGACTGTGGCTGTGACTGTGTGACTGACCCGAGTCTCGTTGTTCTGATAGCTCCGCCCCTTCGCTCCAACCCCCCTCCCTCCCCCCACATCTACAGGTGAAAATTACTTGTGCGACACATTTATCGGAAGAAGTGTAGCAAAAGTCAAGACCGCAGATTCGTCGATTTATACTGCCACAGAGCAGATTCGTCAAGTTGTAATGACTGATTTGAGAGGTTGTAATAAATAAAGTTGCAGTTGTAATGGAAAATATATTTAAAAATATGTATCTTTCTGCAAGTGAACATTTCATCACTAAGTTCATTTTTTTTCTACAAGCTACAAAACTTTTTTTTTCTTCTGTGACTTCAATTTTGGTTCACAGTTACGTGGATATTTTATACAAGTGTACATTTGGTTCACAGTTACGTGGATATTTTATACAAGTGTAAATGTATGCACACAAGCTCAGATTTTTTCTGCAAGTGCTCACATCAGGTTTTACACACTCTCGCATTTTGCACCATATCTACCTTCATAGCTTAGCGAGATCATGTTTGTTAGGGTTAGTTAAGCCGGGTAAATCAAACATATCCAGGGTCTGTTGAACTGGCTTCGTCGTACAGGGCACTGGAGGCAGTAACGTGTAACTCAGCAGAATCTGAGAAGAGCAGCACCAGCTGCAAAGAGCTGTGCCTTTTACTGTTTACTTCACTGTGTTTCCCAGAACAGCTGAATAGAGATCCAGGCTGCTACGTTTAGCCACACACACCTCTACACACATCGAACTACCAGAGTATTCCATATTACTCGTTTTATGAAGGAGATGTCCGTCCGGTCACCAGGGTGCATGATGTGTGTGTGTGTGTTTGTGCTCAGCTCCGCTCTGTGTGTGTGTGTTCGGTGTGTTTGTGTGTCCCCGACACCACCGGCATTTGTTTTCAAATTACCACGAACAGTCATTTACACAAATCTGGTTCTCCATTATATGTGTATTCCAAGCAGTGTTGGGACTGACGCGTTACAAACTAACACGTTACTGTAACGCAACTTTTGCGGTAACGAATAACGTTACTAGTTACCTATTCCCATTAAGTAATGCCGTTATAGTTACTGTTATTTAAATGGGTGCGTTACTGCGTTGCATTATGTGATCCAACTGAACCGAATCTCCCTGCGGATGTAATTTAGGCCCATTCCCAAAGCGCCCCCTACACCCTAACCCTACACCCTACCCCTCCGTTTTCGCGTTCACGCGGAGGGTCACCATATTGAGGGCTGTTCCAAACCAACGAGTGTGGAGCGGTGTGGAGGGGGAGTGGGCTATCAAGCCCTCAAACAGCGAGTCTGCATCGGTGATGACTTCAGACCGGTCTCTACCTGACCGGTCTCCTCGCTGTGTGTGTCCGTCAGGAAACAAGCTGTTTACAAGTAGTTCCAGCAAACATCCACTGATAAACTGCGATGTTAACAATCTCATGATGACCTCATATGTTTTAATTTAGGATCATACCTGTGTTTAGTCTAGAAAAAGGTAAATGTGTGCATTTTATTATAAAGCTGTGTATATTTACAGACTGTTGCAAAAACTAAGAAGCTTATAAACATCAGGTTTAAAACTAAAAGAGCTTTACAAAAAAGTAACACAATGAAAGATGTTTGGAATTTTATTTGAGTTATTAATTTACATTTTTTGTCAAAGGGATGCTGATTTGAAACTGTTGTTACATACAGTTACGGCATTTCCTGTTGCTGCCGGAGAGAGGGGAGGCCGTCCCAAAGCTTGCTGCTGTATTTATACCCTCGATCTGACAGGAGGGAGCCTCGTTGAGCTGCCTACAGACGAAGTTCACTCCGTCACGGAGGGGTAGGGTCGAGGGAGTGGTTTGGGATTGGGCCTTACAGGCAAATACAGTGATGTCCTCTCACAGTACCATGGAAAAGTGAAAGTGACCAGAGAGGAGTGATGATTGGTTAACGCGGGGTAATATTTCAGGGTAAGCCAATCAGAGACAGAGTTGGGCGGGTCTTGCCTTATGGGGAAAATACACAGACACACAAACACTTGCTAAGTTATAAGGCTGAAAGCACCTCTTCTTAAGTTTATCCACCATTATTGATTTTGTTTATGCTAAATGGCCAGATTTGAGGTAAATTATTTCACTGTTAATAATGATAATTGCTACAATGGGGGAGTTGTCTTTTCTCTTACTGTGCCACAGAACAACACAAAAACTTGTATTTTTATTGTTATTATTTTTAAAGTCAAGTAAAGTAACTTGTTACTAGTTACTTTTATAATTTAGTAACTAATAAAGTAACTAGTTACTAGTTACTTTTTTAAAGTAACTTGCCCAACACTGAAAGAAATGTGTTTAATCTTAATCTCGATGTAGTGCACCGGAACGAACTACACTATCATAAACAAATGCCCACACACACACACACACACGCCCTGGCGACCGGACATATTCTTCATAAAACTAATAATATGGCGTAATAATCGGGCAGTTCGATGTGTTTTACCATAAGAAAGTATCTTGTGCGCACAAGAAAGTATCTCTACAAATTAATAAAGCGTGGCCTCGTTTTATTTAAATTGAGGCCACGAATTACATCTCATGCGCACAGTTAATAAAGCGTGGCCTCGTTTTATTTATTTTTCTCTCTATGAACCCTCCAGGGCTCCATACAAATAACCATTTTTAAATGTAGGATTGTCTTTCTGATAAAGCAACTAATTTAAACAATAAATATTATGATGATTAATATTATTCTACTTACGCCTGCACCTCGCCCTTAGGATACAGTATATGTTATCATGATGGGCTCTAATTGTGTAAGACTGTTCACATCATCGTGTGCCCAATTCAATTAATATTGTTAAATACATTTAAAAAAAGTCTCAGACATCTGCCTGCATCACTTTGAGTCTCATTCATGGTGTCGGGAATACCCGTGTCACTGTTTCTGAAGTATGTGATGATTTCCTGTGTCATTCTGGGAAGAGACTCTTCCCGTTGGGTGCGGCTTGTTGTCACTTCCCTTGGGGGATCCTGCCGTTTACTTTACAGGCAATGTGAAGTTCCTCTGAACTGACCCTGGAGGAAGATGAGGTATCCGTTTCCACTAAATGCTTTGTGGTGAAGGCCATCATATTGCTAGTGCACACTGATTACACACTGGTGTGAAATGTGCCATCTCCGGTCTGGGAATATACTCATCACTTTTTAATTATGGGATACTCAATCCATTGGGCATGGACACATACATTAATTCAGGATGTGCCCTTACAGTATATGACCAGGCTTAATGTTTCTCAAAAGTCACACTAGAGGCACATAAGGAGCCCAATCAGCCAAATCCAGCTCTGATTTGAGCCAAAAATCGCTCTTAAAGTAGATCTTTAGTTGTATGTTAAGGGAATACCTTGTAGTAACCATATAGATTGTATATAATAAGACTTAGTTCCTGTTAATTCAGGTATTGGTTTTTGGACTACCATTTTGAAGACTCATGTTTGGCATGTTGCCATTTCCATCTTGGCCAAAATGTTACAAATAACATTGATAAAGTAAATCACACTTCAAAAGGATTGAAGACAAAAACTAGAAGAGCAACCAGATTTGACAACACCGATGGCGAACGCTGGTAGAGACCTGCCATTCTCAGGGTAGCCCCACACTAATACGCATTTGTATTTTCAATTGTACTCTATATGGGACCATCAATTACGCATTGATCATCTGTATGGAAAAATACTTATTTTAGGTTTACCTAATTATTTATTATATAATAAATCAGGGGAGAAGTAACACCATCTTTCCATAGACTTCGATACAATCGGACTTCTTTTTACCAGTGAAGTACCCCCATGATGACCACATGCAGGTTGAGATCATTCTGTATTGATTTTCAGACCATGAGGTTTCCACCTGGTA